AAGCAAGTATCTCAGTTGGCCATGACTGGAATAGTAGTTTTCTCACCTCTCCACAACAATGTAAAGGTATAAAAATTGTTCCCTAATAGTCAAGTTCATGGTCTACTTAGATATACTTTCTTCTAGCTTGGGTGAAAGGTCAAAAAATACTAAATAATATTTCATGGAATAAAACCAGCATTCTGTTAACTTTGGTTCACCAAGTAGCAGCAGAAGTATCAGGGCATATATAAATAAAACTCTGCTTTAGCCTTGAAACAGCTGCAAATTTAAAGAGTGTTTATTTAAAAACGTTATCTTCAAATATGCCTATTTAAAAACATATTTATGACAACAGTTCACTATTTTTCAGTGAACAGACACAATGCCATGTGACTTTTAAGAATAATCACATGCTATGAGAAATAAATGTTGAGTAGTCCAAGGGAATAATTCATCTGTAGGCACACAGGTGCCATATTATTTGTTGACAAAACTTGAAAAATATTTTTATAAATCAAAATCAATATAGAGTTTACTAACTAAACCCAAGAATCGTATTATAAAGGACATTGTTTAACAGTTTGGTTTTTTCCTAGTTCATAAGCTAACTGACCAACAAAATGATTTAGTGGGCTCTATTCTCAACAGTATCTGTTGTTACTATACAGACAGCTTCTCCTCTGCCTGTCCATTGATAATACTCTAAATAAATTAAAACAAATAAAAAAATCACTAACTGTAAAAAAAATATAAAAGTTGTTACAGAACAAGTATGCACAGCTATATTATAACACTTTTCAACTCATATTCTTGCAAGCCAACTCTTTGATGATGGTTTCTTTCACTTCCCTTGTATAAAATTCAGTGTTCTTATGTAAAAATATTTTCATCAAAATCAACCATCTTAATGCTGACCTATATATAAGGAAACATTCTTCTCAATCACACCAAATGAATGTTTCCAAAATGTTTCTGAAAAAAAACCCTGCTCTGGAAATACTTTTCAAAACTATTATTGAACATTTTCTTATGTTAATCTGTGCCTGTGCACTGCTACCAAAAATAGTCACAACTTGCACTATCACGTTTCATTTGTGACATTCTCAAACCACACCCATTCCAAGGTCCTTCAGCAACAGAAACCTGTTCAGCCTACTAGCTCATGTGTCTGAAGTATCTTCCACTTACATCCTCTCCATCTTGTGCCTCAATTCTAAGTAAATAATTCAGACAATAAATATAAATCTAATAAAGGGTGATCTGTTTCTTCCTAGGTATTATGTGCATACTGCTACTGTTTCTAACTGAACTCGCCCAACTCTTCAAGTTTCCACATCTGATTTTGTCTCATTTCTCTGTTTTATTTCACTTTTTACACTCCAAGTTTTTCTAGTCAGGATACTCTAATTCCCTTTGCATTCATACAACATATCATACATGACCTTGATATAGTCAGCCTCCTGTCACTGTCACCCCCATCACATCAATAATAAGCAATGATAACATTCAGAATGCATGGGACAAAACCAGTATAACTGTATTTCGTTAAAACATATTTTTATTAATCTTGGTAGTGATTTTGGCCATGATTTTCAAAAGCTACTATTAACTTGGGAAAATAATTCTGGTGCCTACCTAGCAGGAAGTACTAAAGTGGTCTGAAGCTTATGTAAAAACTGTTGCCCTAGCTTGGGCAACTGAACTAGTAAAACACAGGCCTAAAGAAATTCCTGCAGGCCACTCCCAGGCACAAGGGAAGATTCACTGAAAATTATTACTAACTTTGTAAAATCCTAATGTTTTTCTCTGCTTCTGGGTTTCCTCTGACTGCTTCAAGTAAGCGATTGCTACAGAACTGCCTGAGCACATTTGCACTGCTGCTTCTAACAAGGATTGTTAATACCAAATCCAACAAGGATTTTCTACAATATTTAATGCCAGGAAGTTACATGACTTTTTCCTAGTGCTTCTTTATTCAAAAATCGACATTTTCTACTCTAGTGCCTCTGTCTTCACCCTAGACTGGTTAGAGACATTGTCTCATGGAGAGGAAAGTCCCAGTGTTACTATGAGATGGGGAAGTGCCAAGACACATACCATCACTCCCCATTACAAATCCCTGGCTAGCTAAGACCACCTGCATGTTTCAGAAGGACAACATCAAAGAGATGCTGGAGATCTGCCTGATCTTCAGAGCACCAGAAAGTAAAAAGATCAATGATCAGTTATTGCCTATATATCTGGTGAAAAGTTAAGAGGTTCTGGCTTTCAGAACAGCAAATCGCATCCATAGGAAGAAGGAACCCTGTCTAGGGAATAGGCCTCCTCTCACTGACACGTGGCTACCCTCTTTGGATAAGGACAACCTAGGGCCAGCAAAAAGCTTCTCAAGTAAGCTGGGAGCATTACAGAAACAGACACAATACAAACTCAACTCTACATACGGACACAAGTGGAGAGAAGACTCAGAGGCTAATGGAAGACGCAAGGGAGGCGGTCAAGTCTCGTTTAGGAGGAGATGTTTTGTATAGTTGCTATCACTTTAAACTGCTGGGGAGTTCTCCACTATTAAAAACATTAAAACTAGTACTTCTAACTTCTCAGGAAAAGAGTCAGAGAAGAAGAAACAGAAGACGGTAGTCTGGATTACTGGCACCATTATTTCTCAGAATTACTGACGAGCCAAGGGGACAAGATCTGGAGTTCACACAGTTCTGTATGCTGGCAGAGCCCAGTGGGATACAGGGCTGGTAACACGAGCTAAAGCACTGCACAGAACCGCACCACAGAACCCACCCGTCTGCAGCTTCAGCCTGTGCTTGTGAAACATACAAAGAACTGCACAGGACATCAGAGACCTAAGCTGGAAATGCCACACAGTCACCAGTATCACATCAGGCACTCCCAGTTCTTATTCCTAGAACACTTCTTCAAATACCAAAAAGACAATTACACCTGGGGCCTGTGCATTCAGTTTGTAAAGTTTAGTTAATCAAAAGTTCATTGGCCCAGTAAACTAGGGGAAAATTCAGTTACTGGGAGAAAGTACAGAGATGGGAACGTGGAAGGATTCTCCCTGCCCCACTCCCACCAGCGACCAAAGGCCACCATTAAACAGACCAAAAAATGCAACCTGTGGCAATAAAATCACTCTAATTCTGGGTTAAAGGTGTAATTAGATTTAAATATACATTAGACATTAAAAAGAACCCCAAACAAACAACAAAAACCTCAGCTAGAAATTAATTCAAATAAGAAATTTTGGGCTAAAAACAGACAAGAAAGCAGAGGGCCTCCAACTTCTGATTCATGTTTTAAAATAATACAAACATGCTATGCAAGAAAACCCAAACAACCAGCACATTATTTTCTTCTCTCTAAGTGGAAAAAAAAAGCAATTTTACAGATAAGGAGGTCATTAGTAACAAGAAAGAATGTTTAAAGATAACTTTAAATTAGAACATCCAGATAATTTGTGCCTTAGAGTCCTAAAAGTGTTTGTGAGAGTATCATTTCAATGATTCTAATTTTCAATACATTTTGGAACATCAGAGAAATTCATCATGACTGCTAGCATTTTCTGCCAATATTTGAAGATGGTAAGCGGTATGATCTCAGTAATTATAGAGCTGTAAGCTATCATTAATCTCAGGCAAAATAACCAGCAAACTGATAAAGGAGAAATTCACTGGGAAACGAGAACGAATAAAACTGATGGCAGTAAACACAATTTTATAGAAACATGGTCAGTAAAACAAGATGTTTGATTTAATCATCTGATAAAGTTATAAACTGTGGTCAGTAGAAGTTACTCCATAAATGAAACACACAGACTTTTGAACAGCATTTAGCTTACAGTCACACAACATTCCAAGTAAGAAATTATTACCAGTATCATCAGATGTGATTAAAATACAGATATAAAGTAGTAGCTGTTAACAGGAAATAATAACTGAAGAGTGCTCTATATTACTCCAATAAAATCATCCAGTACTAGGCTCAACATTACTTAAGAGTATCATCAACAGTAAAAAAGTAAATATTGTTGATAGCAGTTATGGAACAAAAAATGTCAGATTAGTTAATAAAGGTAGCAGAATGGTTAATCAGAGTAATATGGATTGCTCTGTAAGATGGGGATAGTGCATTGCAGCCAAGAAAGAAAGAATGGAGGTAATATCTAGGAAACAGCATAGAGAAACCAAGGACTTACAAAATAAATACAATCTTCATGATACAAAACCAATTCAATACAAATGCAGTGAAATCTTGTAACAAAAAGGAGTAATAAAATCCCCACACATGTAAATGCATAAGACCAGAGGCACTACTTTCATCCACAGTATTAGTGATACTGGAGTAGTGAATACAGCTCTATAATCCCTGCATTGTTTTCACAAGATGGCAGAGATCTTGTTTTTTCTTGGTATTTTCTCTGTAATTCACCAAAAACAGGGAAGATTCTGTACCTCTTTCAGACATTAACCAGAATGCCCCACATGCTGTTATAAGCAGAGCAAGTGGCTAGAAAATGGCATGAAAAGAGCAAAAGCAGTTGTTTGAAAAGGCTGCAGACTGTCAGCAAACGCTCCAGGAACACAGAAACAGTCCCTGGTGCACTGCAGGAGGGTGAGAGCTGAGGCCTAATGCTAGTGACCGGGCAGTACAGACAGTGGTGGACAGATCTTAACACTAATGTATTTTAGGGTTATTTCCTGCCGTAAGAAATTCTTCTTATCAAAGAATGGTACAATATTTCTTTGCTTTGCTACATTGTGGCTCTTCAATCTGTAGCTTAAAATCCAACCCTGAATAAATGTAGAGGTTTTGCCAAATGTTTCTTTCTGAGAGCTGGACTGCCCTAGCCTTAAACGACAGCAGTGGCAGGAGTACATCACCATGTCTGTGCACAGCAACTAGCTGCAGGTGTGGCTTCACCAGGGAAAACCTGACTGGCAGCTGGGTAGGGAATGGCACACCCGAGGCAGGCTGGGGTTTGGACATTACTTTTGGCTTACCTGGTCTTGAGACCCTTGAGCTGCTGAATGCTGCTCCTCGAAGGCTGCTGTCAAGAGTCTGGGGGTTTGAGTTACCATGGAGATCACCGCATCTGACAGCTGAGAGGGCTGCAAGGAGAGACAGAGGTACTTGTCAGGCCGGTTTCCATCACCTCATCAAAACATGAGCATTTGACTCCTTCTGCTGTTGGTGTTTGCCAAGGCACCAACTCCCAAGTTAGAAGCTCTGGCAGAAGTGTAAGGGAAAAACCCAGCACCCATCACAAAACGAATTGGAAAGGCAAGGGCGAGCCCCGGGCACTCACAGCATCCGAGTGCTTTGCAAAGTCCTGCACTTTTTCAGGAACCTGGAAGAATCCTAACACGCCCTGAGCTTGGCTCAATAATTTTCAGCCTCTTTGGTCAAGTGTAACACCAGCAACCCGTCCAGAACCACCACTGAGCACGGGACGGAGATGGGAGCGTGCTGCCTCAGAACAGCTCAGGGGGACACAGACCTGCCCCCCGACAAAGCCTCCATGGGAACTGATGACACGTCACTGCTGTGCAAAAAGAAGTAAATAGGTCAAAGTTGTTACCTTCCTGTATGCTTTGGGAGGAAAGTCTAAAGGAAGGCATTTATGAAAATCAAACATGAAAGCCAGCCTGGTGTTTTGCAATAATAAACCTATTTGCAGACTCCTTCATGCCTGCCATGGAGCAGGGTGAGTAATGCTTATTCCCTACTTCCTCTGCATTCGTGTACCTTGACTAGTTTCTTATTCCTGTATTTCAAGCTGTAAGTCTTATGCTCAGTTTTTGTCTATATAATCTAATAACTAAATGCTGTATAGTAAATGAGATATTCATTGGAGACCTTTAAAATTAATTATACCCTTCCATACAAACATCTAATAGCTTTTAAAGCTATACATTAAGGATCAATTTACGATATAATCAATTTAATAAATAACATATTTAAACATATCATCAGAAGCTTTCATAAATCCAGTTCAAATTCTCTAGTCTGCAGCACTACATGTTCTCCTTTACATCCCTATGAGACAAGAACACCACTTAACCAAATACAACTACTAATTGTACTAATATAACAATAACCTGAGAAAGAGTTATACCTATTATAATCAGAGGTGAATGACATATTATACAAGGGACAAGACATGACTACTTGGGCATCGCAAAGTATTAACAATACATCATAAGTCCACAGTTTCTCTGAGTTTGTCTGCTCAGAATGCATATGCAGCTCCATCTACGTAGCCACAGAATGGTTTTCTCAGGTGGCATTCTGCGATGACTGTTGTCATCTCTCTTTCTTGTTTTCGGACCATCTTCCATCTCACTTTTCTGTGAAGCATATTATGTTTATACGAAGTATAATATACTCAAGAAGCATAACTCTGTGTAAATACAAAATCTGAAAAGCCAAGCAACAATTAGAGGATTTTTCTGTTACAACTTCTCTACATCTTATGGGAAAATTATTGAGAGTATTAGTATGTTAAAAGTATCTCTCTATTACTCTGACATGATGCTATGCAACAGTAACTAACACATACTGAGGCTGCTCTGATGACAAACCCCAGGAAAATAACTGGCTCCTCTGTGCTGAAGGCTTTTGCAAGATTCATGGAGTTTAAAGGACACTGCAAAATACCAGACGCTCATATTGTAGCACTGCAGATGGAACTCTTGTTATTAAAGAAACTGTATTACTACTTTCCTGTCATAATTGTACTCTTAAATGAGTTGGGCCATGTTTTCATTTGTTCTGTTTCCAAATGTTATATGCTGGTTCACTGGTAGCTTTTATCAGTGATGGGACCACTTAAAAGCCATTCATCTTCCCACCTTGTTAGGGAGCAAGCAGAAGGTATCAGCAGAGGCAGTCCTAGGAGCACAGGCTGGAAGAGCTAGTCCAATCCTGTAACAAGACCAGCTTTCCTCACCTTGCCAGACAACTTTTTGGTAAAAACGTTCATACTGGCTCCCTACTGAAAACGTTTTTCAGGTGACAACTAGAGTCGAGTAAATAAACGACTTTCAGGAATCAAGCACCTACCCATAAGGTTTTATGCAACAAAAAGAGAGTTTCTTAAAATCTAGTTTTGTACAGGAATTAAAGCTAATAGAAGCTTTGAAAAAAAGCAGTATACAAAGACAGAAGATGTTTTTTGAATTGTCATCGATAATAACATCACAAACTACCACAACGTAACGGTAGGATTAAAGTCTCCACAATTTAGAAATAAATTGGAAAAAAAACTCCAGCAGGGACACAGAACACAGCTGCAAAATTGATTAGAGTTGTAGAAAATACTTTAATATTAAATATTTGGAGAGTTCAACTTGCATGGTTTAAAAAACAATAACGACAACAACAAAAAAAGACAGATGACCTTATTACAGCACCTAAGTACTTTCATGGGGAGAAAATACTAAGTACCAACTGACCTGTTAAACTGTCAAAGAAGGTTATACATAAAACAAATTAGCATACAGAAGCTGACACCAAATTCAAGTGAGAAATAAAGCACATGCTTTTTATCACCTGTGACTAACCATTAGCCCACCTATCAAAAGGAGAATGCAAAGATTCTCCATCTGGTGATTTCAAGGTGTAGTGGGACTTTTCTAGAAGAATTTTTCAGAAAATGGAAGTTATCTTGTAGTCAACACAAGTTACTGTGTTTCACACAGGAGAAACAGTTTGCCGTGCAGAGGAGGGGAGATCATGTGACACAGGCATCTCTTCCTGGTTGTAAATTAAATACATTATGATCTGAAACAACTAACTGAAGCACTGGATGGTGATGAGCACAGGCACGCTAAGCTGCTGGTGCTAGCACACACTTAGTGACACACATATAGGAGAGACAGAGTCTGGCCATATGTGGAGTCAGAGAATTACAACCACTCTCCTTTCAAAGACAGGTAGACTAAATTCTGCTGCAAATAATATTGTGGCTTTTAATTTAGGAAGCCTATTCTTTTCTCCATGGACTGAAAGGACTCAGTCACAGGAGAGCTGTAGCAGGAGCTCTCTTCACAAGGCTCATTCAGGGCATCAGTGAGGTGACCAAAAGCAGGTGACACAAATGCAGCTCTCCTAACCTGCGCCTCCACAGGCACAGAGCAGTGTTATTAACTACTTGCCAGTCCCACCCCTGCAGGCAGTAAGCTTTCTGGGCAGAAAAAGCTTCCTACCAGGGTATTTCAGTGGGTCATACAAGCAGTCCCCCACCTCAGCTAAAATACAGGTAATGAGGGCTTCTCACAAAAGGGAGGAGAAGGAAATAAGAACAGGAAATGGCCTAAACGTTACCTTAACAATTCTGTCCCTTAAGCAAAGATCAGGAAGGATACTGGAAATGTCAACTTAGCTAGTGTTAGTGCTACTTCTACACACTGAGCTGCTAAACTGACAGGAAATTTAACCATGTTTAAATATCAACAAAAAACAGCTTAAAAAAAAATCACTCATTTTCACTAACTGTAGATCTGGTACACACAATTTGACTTTGAATGCTGCATGACTTTCGAAAACAAGAAATTCAGCCAAACAATGCAAACTCATCCACTGATCTCCGTATCTGTCAGCTACTCAATCAGACACAACCTCTGTGAAGCAAAACCATGGAAGACCCTGATGCCCACTCAGAGGCAGGCAGTGGCTATGAAACCCTGCCTCTATCAGAAGTGCAAATTGAACTGAAGAACACTGCTGCTGCCTTTCAGCCCTGCCCTCACAGCACTGCTGGGGAGCGGCTGGTACATGGGGACACGGGGCATGGCCCAGCACCAGCTGGGTGCCAGCTCAAGCCACACTGCACCATTCACGTGGCGAGGTCAGTAAGGGACATCTGCTTAAAGAGGGTCTGAGTCTGGCACTGCCCTTTGTGGGTCACAGGGAAGTACTGCGTTTATCCACTGCTTCACAGGTAGTTTCCTTCTGCAGGCACGCACACGACTCTAGGAAACTGAAACCAGATTCATGGGAGGCACCTGAAATTATCAGCTGTGCATGCAGCTAGCAATAAAAACACCTAAATAGTATAGTAGCTTTACTCTTGATTTAAACTCAAAGTAATTAGTTACCTTGTTTAGGAAGATGTTTTTGCAAATCCTACTCAATTCCTCTAAATAGATTTAGACATCTAAGTATTTTTCCAAATAGATTTATGCTTAATTACTATTTCCACATGGTTGCAACTGAATTGTTTTATTTCTTTTTACTAAACAACACAGATGAGAAATCAAACCAGTGATATTACTATTCTGTTTCATCACATTTCCGTTAACACTACTCAACAATAAAAAAAAAAAAAAAAAAAAAGGTGACTAATTTATTATCTCCCTCCCTTCCGGCTTCTAAAGGCACAGGAGCATTTGAATTATTTGAGAGATTTCACTGTATCTCTGCACAAGAAACCCATATATCCTGTATACCTTGAGCACAACATGTGTATTTTGCTTTCTTTTACAATGATGAACAGCTTCTGTGTTTTCAACAGCCACTGGGGGATTATACTCAAAGTAAACAAGGACTATACAGAAGATTCCGATAGGACATTAACAATTATGCCCACTCTTCTGCAAAAAAATTACTTAACACGCATTTTCTAAAGCAGTTCCTGAGAAGTGTACGAATCAGCGAAGAGAACATTCCAACATTTGCAAAACTGCCACTGAGGTACTGGGGTTTGAGTTTCCTTATGGATTAACATTATATATAAGAATAGCCACGGTGCTATCCCCTCAGCTTTGGCTGCCCCAGGGGCCTGAGCAACACTTAGTCTGCACAGAGACTGTGGACAACACTGCAGTCATGTGGAGCCAAAACCAGCACCACCATCTTCAGCACAGCATGCTGGGTTCCTCTGCTGTGCACTGGAACTGCAACCTCTGTTCAGAAAAACCCACACAATGCCTGCATGTTAATGTATTTGCCCATAGGTCTTACAGAGTGAAAAAATAATATTTAATGGCTTGCTATGATAAAAAGCTTCCTCTCTAGACACTTATGTATCTATCCTTCCCCCATACGTACCTCATCTAAAGGAAGAATTTTAAATCTACCATAGATGAATGCTCAGATTTGACAAAGG